AAACAAATTTCAACACGCTTTTTGCAAGTCAGGGGCTGATCGAAAAAATTCAAATTCGAACTTGACCAAGATCTCATCAATATAAATGCTCACACCAAATTTCAGTCAAATCAAATACTGTAGCCTCTATTGTGTTCACAAGCAAATTGGGGATGGACCATCAGACAGGGGCAATGACAAAATACGACCACATTATAATGTCTTGGTGATTACTTGGCAAGTTTACCAGGTATATGAGCGGAACTGAAAATGACATCAACTCCCTTGGTCAAGTTTCAATGAAAAAAATCTGCTACATGGGATGATGCAAGAGAATAAAATATAACTTACATAACTTTTAAAGCTCCGCCTGTGTTTTCTGGTTGCTCTAACTAGGCCATGAATTGATCTACCTACAATAATAAGTGAAAATGAGTGATTTTGAGGCAATATCATACATACAAATGACTCTTGAGACTCAAGAAGAGTCAGACAAGAGTAGTGAAATTTTAAATATTTTAAGATTAAGTTGTCTAAATATTTGTTAAACCAGCTGATAGAGATCAATGTCAACTATTCCTATCACTATTCAGAATAAAGAGCTCAGCTCTACAAAATTAGTGTTTACAAGTAAAAATATTGGTGTTACTGTCAGTGAGTCTGTTCCAAATGGAATATTTTACAAAAATATCAGCTTAATTAAGAGAAACTCACCAATTATCAAGATATTGAAACACATGTTGTATTTCAATATAAAACTGACAACATTCAATATCTGAAATAGAAAATGAATGTAAAATTTACTAAATTAAAAAAGAAAATAAAGGGATATTTCGCTAACAAACAATTATAGAACTGCATCCCTTTCAGTATGTATATAGATATAATTAGAAATGGGGTTTTAAGTCGTGCTTTTCTGTACCTGATTAGATTAACGAAGACAGTATGCAGTGTACAATGTGGGCAATTTTTGACGATTGAAGCATTAGCTTTCTCATTGTTAATTACCTCAATAAGCAAGCACAACCTGTGGCACAAGGGACATCCCTTAAGGTGGCACGAATAAAGGAAGGGTCAATTATCAATCTTGGAGGGCAAGGTAGTTTGTTGACTGATAAAGAAGACTCACCATTTAACAGCTCGCTGGAACATAACTTGATATCTATAGACCAACAAGTTTCTAACTGATGAGAAGATTTCATACCTGTAATATATCATTTATTCAAATTAAATAGCAAAAACAGGGATGTTTCCTATCATTTTACGCAAGTGACTCGACTTAGCATACATGATCTGACAAATTAGTTATTCATGTCCTGTTCTGGGCCATTTAGTATTCAACCCACTAATACACAGTAAGTATTGTATGTATCAAATATTGTGTACCATATAAGATTTTCTTGCTGTATGTCAGGAATTGCAGGGTATCTATTGTTTTAATTGGACTAGTAGATGTAGTGTCTTACCATTTTTAAAAGTACTTTGGATTGGTTATCATAAAGTATGACAACTCTGTATGGTCATTCATTCTAAACACAATCACCAAATATAGATGAAGTTTGTTAAATCAGGGTTAGTGGATTCACCTGCAAAAAAAAAACTTAACATTAACATCTGCATTTGAATCATGTCATAAGTGTTTTTTCACTTGCACCAGACTCTGAAATATAACAATATACGGACTACATCCCTTCAGTAACAGAAAGTCCCCTCACAAAAATTCACAAGATTCCCCCTTGCTTAAACCTAGGCCTAACAGTTGGAATACCTGATAAATAAATCAAGTAGTTTTCAAAAAAACCAGAAAGTTAATTATAAAAAAAAACTCACCATATATAAAAAAAAAAAGATCTATTTGTCAAAAGCGATTTAAAACTTTTCATACTAGTAACTTCTGTGAACTGCTGTCACTGTAAAAGAATAATAATTTTTAGAATACAAACAACATTGTGTTGTGAATTGTTTCAAAAAGTAAAATTTTACACTAAATATTATTTACTAGGTATTAAAGGGCTGTCGTACTTTTCTCATAAATCACAAGACAAAAAGCTAAATTCTCACAATAGGAAGCTTGCATAGATATGACCTAATAACCACCCCATCTCCTAATTCGAAACCTGTCTACCCTACCCTACCCTAATGTCACTAAACTAACAATTATAGGACACCATCCATTTAACACCCCACCCCCTAATTCTAAACCTGTCTATCCTCACCACTACCTTAATACCGTATTCTAAAATAACAAATATAGGCCACCCTGTCTTTAATACCTGCACCCCCTAATCCTAAACCAGACTACCCTCATCTCTGAAGGGTACAAATTACTTTTTTTTATTTGCATGTCTTTTGCTCTATGGGCCTAAATTGCACAGCAGTTTAAAATTTTATATAGAACTTTTTAACGTATGAAGAACGGTATGTATCAATATCATTAAACTAAATGATTCTTGAATTGTAATTTAAATACCAGTGCAAAAGCATAAATACAAACAGAAGTTGGCCATAATGATACTCCTGATACCTTCCATGTTATTTTTGAAGTCATGAAATAACTTGTATTTGTCATATTTATTCTCGTGACATCGAGTCTAAATTTTCAAGGTCACGCGCGTAAGAATCTAGATTGAGAAAAGTCCAAACTAACCGATAATATTTAAACCTCGAGTATCATATCATGATGCTATCAGTGTCCCTCCCTTGTACACATAAAAGATTTAGAAAATCTCTTTACAATCTCTATAACAAAACGTTTGGTAGAACTAAATGAAATGAGCTATTCAAGGTATGCATGCTTCTGATTAACTTCTCTTTTTTTGTGCAATTCCACTGAAGTAAAACTGTGCGTTTGATAACGTCAATTTCACAAAGACTGTAGATATTATTATTCGGCAATAGTGACGTCAACAAAAGTCTAGTTTTAGTGGATTCGGAAAAAATAAAACAGAGGTCTGACTGAAAATTGGAATGGTACAAATCGATGCCCTTATTTCTAGAAAACCAGTTTATAATCCTTACAAGTTTCCGATCAAAATTTGAATGAAGAAAATGGCTTACATTCTTGTGAATAAGTGTCGAATATTTGTCACTCCTTCCAAAAGTGTCATCGTTGAATCCATTATTTTATAGAAAAATCACAAAATAATCTAAAACCATCCAGAAAAATACAGATAGTATCAATTAAATCCCAATCCACAGATATTAGTCAAAGATTTAGCACTGAATATATCGAAATAATTCAAAACCATCCAGAATCCAATACAGAATATATCATAAGTCATAAGTCACGACTGATAAGACCGAAATCCCGCTAAGAAATGTGCACCCTTGGATATGCAAACGATGATTTTACGTTAAACTCCTCCCACTATTTGACTGACAATTTGAATTCCAGCCAATCAGCAGCCACAATTCTGCATCCACGTGCTCTACGTGTCAACTCTTCCCGCCAAAAAAATTGTTTTGAGTTTCTGATGGTTTTAAACTGTCACCTTCTCGTCAATTTGGTGAAAGCTGCTAAATTATTAAAGGAAAAGATCCACCAATATTTCAGAGTGGCTGGTTGAAAGAATTTTGAATAAAGGCACTGAACTTAAAAATCCTTTGTAAAGTCTAAAACCTGTTCAAAAATCTTTGGTTCAACGAATAAAGTATATTTCGTTAAGTTACCAAGGGAAAAAATGCCAAAGTCACATGTTTGTGAAGTAAATTACACGGAAGGGGACCTTTAATTCTTGACAGAACAAATAACATGATTGCTAGATTCGCGCCAAATATTACCCCGAAATTTAAAGGGATATAGCGTTACTGTTACAATAAAATTCACCATTATTCAAGTTTTAGGCCTAAATCAGGCTACCCTCAAAGAAGATAATTAGAAAATTTACTGAAAAGCTTTGACTTTGTGACTACATAAATGTGGCAATAAATTCTGGGACGAAAAAGTGCAAAAGATACAAATATGATTGCAAAATAACAGATTAACCCACAGTAAATTTAAGGATAGTGGGTCATGGCCATATACGGTTGGTGAAACGAGATCCTTATTGTTAGATCATTTAGGCCTGCCTACATACAAAGTCGTACGAAAATCGAAAATTGCGAAAATCGTTTGAAAACTGAAAGAGCTATACCAATTTCAACATAGGCGTACGGACCCAAGGCCTATTTGGAGGTTGGAAGGGGGGAGGGGAGTTGTTTGCACGAAATTTATTCTACGATCGAGACGAGTGGTACAAATAGGAGGCAGACTGACTCAAATAGTTTAGAACACATTTATAATATTTATGTTTATTAGTGTAAATTTATGTTAGTGAATTAAATGTTGGATAATGGTACATCGAGAAAAGGGTGACGTCAAATTTTAAGTTTTAATAACACTGCAAAATCAATTGATGTGATTTAATTATTAGTGGTCACTGACAAATAACCCATCATGCCCATGGAATTGAGAGCAATATTAGAAGTTCCAGGAGGTTCTATCAGTTCCCATTATCAGGAAGACGAATTCGGACATAGTATAAATTTCAAAAGGTTTCTATGACGGCTAAGTCTCGCCAATTGCCCGTAAACTCTGAGTATTATTCTGATAAAGGTTATATATATGTCGATTGTTGTACGTCTTTAATGGGCCTACGTACAAAAAGTAAGGGAGACAGCAACTTAGTGATTTGATATTTCGAATGAGGACTAGTGTGAGATAGTATGGTATGAATTTCAAAAAGTTCCTATGACGGCTAAGCCTTATAATTTGCTGTTTAACTTTGGTAATTTTCAGCTTCCATAAAAAAAAATTATATTTTTTAAATGGGTCACAGTACAAAGACTAAGAGAGTTGGACATATAGGTGTTTGCAAAATTGAAAGAATTCTTGTGTATTTGTCATAAAAAATTTTAAGTTATTTTAAGTTAGATAAATCAGATTTCATATCGGGTCGATTTGCCGCGAATGTGTATGCCGAGACGATTCGACTCGATTCGAACAGAATGCTATGAAGGTGTATGCTAAGTTCAGCCCGGTCATAAGACATGACATGACATCTTCTGTTAAAAGGAAACTGGCTTCATCAAATGGAGATAATTCTAAGAAGGGGCCAGGCCATTGGAGCCAAGCTCTTCTAACTTCTATGGAGGACCCAGAATTGAAAATTGATGAAGATGAAAAATGTGTATCAATAAAAGATAAATATCCAAAGGTGCTTGATGAAACGAAAAAAAGATGATAATCTGTAGGCGTAAAAAGTGTTGTCTTACAACAAGCACACATCATGGCTTTAATAAAAAATCAAAGTTTTATGATTTATATACCAAATGAGCCAACTGTTAGCCCAGTAGTTTGATCTTCTAGCTTCTTCATCTATCTTGGTGACTTCAATTGAAGCTCTAGGCTCTGGTCAAGCTCGAGTTGATGGAGAAATAACGTAAACATCTTCAGTTTGCATGTTGTGTGAGACCCGCAATTGAATTTGATTGACTGAATGCTATTGGGGGCACTTTTAAACCATATAATAGGCAATATTTGTCTCCATGTTTCCTTGTGTTCAACTCTACAAATAATATCGAAGGTCCAACCTGAGCTTCTAACTCAACTGAACTGTGTCAAATATTACGGCAAACGTGTGTCAACTCTTCAATTTTTCAGTTTATATTTACTGAGAAATCAATGAAAAACTTTTTAATTTAATGACAAGTCTAAAAGTTTGGACAGCTGAGATAACAATTCATGTGGTTTTTTTTTAGCCCAGATATTATTTTTTTTCTTAATACTTTAGAATCAGATTGATTTACTTTTTTTCTTCATAATTCCAGGCAAAGTATCATTTTCTTGTTTTACCTCGAGAGAAGATCAGTAACTTGAAGAGTTTAAAGTCAGAACATGTTGGCTTATTGAAACATTTACAGTTAAAAGGTGAAGAACTTGCTGAAAAGTTAGTATATGCTTTCCAATAACAACAACTACAAATTAGAAAATAAATAAGTTGTATTTATCCCTTACTTAAAGTCTTTAAGACAGGTTATGGATCAAATTAGATTTATTCAAATTCTTCATGTTAACTCACAAGGTTTTTAACCATGAAATTAATGTTATTTTACTGCTGTGTATCTAATCCTTAACATATTTCTACTTTTAGAGCAGATGATAATTTATTATTTAGATATGGTTATCATGCAGTTCCTAGTATGGGGTAAGTCAAATCTATAATATTATATTGCCTTAAAGGGCTTGGTGCATCAATCTTTGTGACCAATCATAATTTAGTCTTAGAAATGAGAATTTTTTAGCTAAGCCAATCAGTAATAGTGTTCCCAGCTCACCTTCAAATCCCTGTGTGTCCAGAATTATCCGTGTCATTTTAAGATACTCTGTGATATAGAAATAGTGAGTAAAATTCCTAGTTTGAGATATTTTTGAAGGAATTTTCATACATTTCTAGTACTGCAGAAGACTATTTACACCCCAAAATGGCACACCTGTCCCTATTACAAAAAAACCATGAAAGAAAGAAACAATTTAGGTTTAAGAGCATACTTTCTACCAGCTAGTCCATGACCAACCCTTTTGGCATTGATCATACCCTTTTACAGCTGGGTTGTCTGGAATAATGAGGATTGCTGACTAGGTCGCTCTTTATCAACTTAGCTACATGAAAGGTTTAGCATATGACAATTATTCTTCCTTAAATTTATTTAGTCATGACAACTGAATTAAATCTATTTATTTTACAGACAACTTCATCTACATGTAATAAGTCAAGATTTTAACAGTCCTTGTTTAAAAACTAAAAAACATTGGAATTCCTTTACCACGGAATACTTTATAGATTCAAGTAGTATGTAAATTGTTGATTTTTCACTTTGTAACCTGATGTAAAATTACTTTATTAGCCCACGTGATAGGCATTGTGCAATACAGTCGTGTAACCTAATTTCGTGGAAACCTATTATTCGTGGATTTCCGGTAAGTATTAATAATTTACATGAGCGACCTTGCGCGACCTCCGCATTAGTTTGTTTTGATAAACATGGGTTATCTCTACAATGTCAGCTAGTAGAATGAATCCAGTAGTTTCAAGCAAGGTAAAATGTATTAATGTATACTTTGACAAATACAAAATGGCGGATTTCACTTCTTACCAAACGTCACCATTTTTAATCGGAATTCCAAGTGTCGTCTGCTAGAATGTAGTCCAACAAATGAAGTCACGTGATCAACTAGCGGATTCAGTGTCAGCAGAAAAGTTCTATGGAACACAAAGTGGACCATATTCTTATGTTGTTTCAGTGACTTTTAGCAATAAATCACGCTACGTATCATATTTTGTCAGTCACTATTTTTTTTTGAAATCGTGGTTCTTTGAAGGAATTGTCACTAGTTATAATGAATTGATATTAAAGATAAATACTAAGAGAAGTTAATTATACCACCCGGTATCAATACAACGTGTTTTTCTAGACTTACTTACCAAACATTATACACGAAATTAGGTGAGGCATTCTGCCGCCGTTGCCGAGTTGGTTGCTCATGAAATATGGGTCAAAGTGAAGGATTTATAAAGAAAATCGAAATAAACCAATTTTAATTATTTTGTAGAATATCTGAGGAAACATCTAAGACATAAATTTTTTTTTTCGTTTTTTTAACTTTGACGAAATTCGGTGTTGAATCCTTATATCCACAAAAATAGGTTACACCACTGTACTAGTTGAATTTCATGTATTATATCTACTTTTGATAGTATGTTTCCTTTAGCTACTTAACATTGTATTTCAGAAATAATAAAACAATTAGAAAAGCATGATATGGTAGAAATAAATACAGCTGATTCAGAAAGTTTACTGAAGAAAGATTTAAAGTAAGGCTACATATATTTATATTGATTAATACTGTATGACTGTATAAAATCAACTATTTTATCATTGGGAAAATTTGATACCATACCATTCAGGGTGCAGATGGAATAAATACTACTATTATGATGTTTTATATACTATTGAAACTATTATCTTTTTCAAAATATATACTGTATAATTCCGAATATAATGCGCACACTTTCTAACCTTTAGTTTTTCTGTCATTGTAAATAATGCTCACCCCCATTCTAGTTAAAAATGTATACTACTGTCAATGTGACATGACCTAGTGCAGTTATATTCTTAATGATCAAGTCTAAATAATGATTAATCATTTGCGAGAAATTGTGTGTTTCTGTTAACTTTGTATAAAGTTGTAAGCCCAATTAATAAAGTTTATTTTATACTTTTAGGTGTCATGTGTGTCAGAAGCAATTCACTACTCTTCCTGCTTTAAAATCGCATATATCATTACATATTGTCACTAGACATAAGAACACTTGATTGTTTGTATTTCATTGTATTTATTGATTGTGATTCGAAATTCAAAGAGGGGTTTCCTGTTTCAAAAAATATTTTTTGTGCCAGACACATTCCATATTAAGATTCCATAAACTATATACATTTATAAGGCTTATAATAGGGATAGCACTGATAGGAAAGTAAGTGTTTAGTAATAGAATTGTTAGTTAACATAAAAGTATTGGAATGTTGAATGTAAATTAAATTCTCTGAAAATGAGAGATTTTATGTGATTTTCCTGTAACAACAAAAACCACAACAAGAAGTACTGCACGCTCACCAATTATTGGTTGAAGTTTGCCACAAAACTTGTGGTCTAAAATGAATAAAAAAAAATTTATATTACGTCTTGTTATTTATATGATATCTCGCCCCCCTCAATATTATTCTTCTGTGGACAATTTTGATATATGTTCAACATCTTGATTGCAAGAAACATTGCCAGTTTTGTGTCTGATTTCAATCAAATACATCTAAGCTTCCTTAGGAGTGGAGTGCACAAAACTGATCAAATTTACACACATATCATAGCAAGACATGATCTTAGAATAAAAAAATAACACAAATAGAAAAATAGAACATGAATAAAAATATTGTAATATAAGCACTACATTATAATACAGAAATACATATGTTTATATCTTTTCTTTTGTTCAAGGTATGTTGTATAATATCTTTCATTTTGTTTTACATCTTCACCTGACTACCCGAAATATAGACTCTTTTTATATTACGGTCATCTCCTGAAACATGATTGAGTCTTCATTAATAGACACTGTGACCAGCAAGAAAGTCAGGACATGTTATTACTTGGGAGGAAGGGGAGGCAAGTAGAAAGTTAACTACTGTGTTTGAGATTTGTGACACCCCCAATTAAAAGGTTCAGGTGAATTCTAACAAGTTTTACTGTAAGTCCTAAGTTAGAATCCTTATCCACTGTAATAGTTCATCAGGTATTTTAGTTCTTGTGGAGGGCAATGAGTTTCTAGATTAAGAATATAGAGGTTAGAGGTACTATTGCTACAATATCTATAGTTCTTATTGATGCATGCCCTATAAAATGCTTACCTAAATAAATAAATTTCTGAAAAATATCTTCGAATGTATCAGATTCAAAGACATCAAAATTACTGTCATTCAATTCAACATCAACTAACAGAGCATCGAATTCTTTACCAACTTCAAAATTACCAATTTTATCATCTAAACCTAAAACTGAAGTCAAAACTCCTCATTTAACAACAGTTTTTGTAAATTCGTGTGTAAGATGGAATCTCATGTCAGTAGTTGAACAGTTCCTATAATGCGTGACATATTTATTAATCTTCGGGATAAGGAGCATACTAGAAAGGTTGGAAGGGCTTACCATTGTAACTTTTAGTAACTATGGTAGGAAAATTGATAACAAGTTATTCAACCGCCGATTGAGAAATAAATGCATTTTACAAGAATACATATTCTCACCAAATTTGCCCAAAATAGTGCCTTCTGGAGTGTTTGCAAGCAATGTATGACAATCGGACATACTCTGAGTTTTATGTGGTCGTTAAAATGGTGTAACTCTAAATTCTCCTTTTAAGATAGCTTGCCAAGCAAGGTAATATACGCCCACTGGTAGCTTTGATTTTAAATAAAATTATTTGGCAGTACAGTGACAATTACCAGTATGAAATATTCAACCTTCAGTCATACACTTCTTTTGATCTTTTTGAGGTGATACTGAATAATATTACCAAGTTTCATCAAAATCTGTCAAGAATTGTGTTTACAGGCTTAAACTTGAAAGCGTTTTCAAGAACAAGGGCAATTACTCATCCTAATAATTTTTCAATCTTTCTGATTTTCAATAGGGTTCATCCATGAGTGATAACAAACACTCACACTCACACTAAATATGTCAACGCACCAAAAGCGTTTACAAGCTAAAAATTGAACGCGTTTTCAAGAGCAAGGGCAATAACTCGTACTAATTATTTTTCAATCTTTCTGATCCTTGAGTGATAACAAACACTTGAGCACACTACGTTTCATCAAAATGCGCCTTCTAGAGTGTTTACGAGTGTTTCAAAAACAAGGACATTAACTCGTACTAAATATTTTTCGATTTTTCTGATTTTCAATAGGGTTTCATCTTTGGGTGATCACAAATAACCATACCAAGTTTCGTCGAAAGCAGTCAAGAATTGTGCCCTGTAGAGTGTTTACGAGCAATTGTGGACGGGCCGACGGACGGACATGGGTAACGGCAATATACGCTCCCCACACCCATTTCACATGGGCGTATAAAAATTACCTTGCGCTCCACCAAGGGTAGCCATCTTGAAAGAATCTCTAAAATTGATAGGCTTGTACTCTTTATTTTGTCCTTCATTTAATATTGCAATTGTATGAGAAACTTCGACACTTGAACGTATAGCATCCAAAATGGAACAACTATATCCACCTGCAATATCTAAACACAAACATGGCATAAAACAAATAAATATAAAAAAGAAAAAGTAATTTCTTCATCTTCAAATAATTCAATGATCAAGATAATAACTGACTTTAAAGACCAGGAAAATTGTACCCCATCAAGAGAAGTCTGATATTTTCGTGGCAGTGGTGTGATCTGAATGACTTTCTGTCTGAAAGTGTCATATCATGTGTTTCATGGGAACCAAAATCAGTATGAATGTCAGATAGGGGTACAAGGTACCAGTCGATGTCCGCTATGAACGGATGGTCAGAAAATGACCAAAGACGATTAACCAATGACCAGACAACACCATGAAAGTTGTAAAATCTTGCTGTACATCTAACTTAACCTTACTATAACTTACCTGATCCTAGACCAAGTTTTATATCTAATTCTAAAACCTTTCTGGCATCAAACAATCCACTTCTTAAACTAAAAACATTGATTAAAAAATTTTAAAAACAGGAAACCTCAAGTAAGGGGGCCGGACAGGGGCCACAAAATTTTCTTTCACTAAGTAAAATGATAACTGCAACTGCTACCAGTCCCCCTATAAACGTCACTGTTTCTGTGCGCTAATGGAAAATATCCATTCTTACTCAAAAATGTACCCAAGGCCTATTGATAATTAGAATAAGTAGGAACTTTATTTTATGTTATTTGAAAGGCGTTTGATTTATTAAGTCGTCATCATTCAAGAAGGAAGGGTTTCTACTTGTCAAGATCGCAGGACATGCTGGAAATATGGATTCGCCACAGAGTATATGCTGATTTCGGTAAATGAAATGATAAAATCTGATATTGAAAAAATAATTCAATTAATATTCATACTCACGACAAATTGGAATTCGGACAATGAGCAATACCACAGTTTTTATCTTTTATAATTTGAAGTTCATTGTCACTAAGGTAAATACTGTGTGCTAGAACGGTCTAAAATGAACAATTTAAAAAAAAATTTCTGAGGCAGTGTTTTCGGTATATTCATGTATAATGATAAGAGCGTGGATGAGTTCATTTGCGAAATTTTTTGATGCAGCCCAATGTTGCATCTGTTCCTTTATTGTATGCTTCAAGAGTGATCAAGAAGATAACTTACTCGGTTAGATAAAAGTCCTGCTTTATGGTAAACATCTATATAATGTTTACGGTCTGGATAACATGATTTCACTTCACTACATTCTGTTAAACATTCACTAAGATGTGTCTAACATATCAAAAAATATGTAAAACAGTTATATATCTTAAGATTAAAAGGTAGTATTTCGGGATGGGTGAAGTACTTTTTCCAATTGCTAATTTACATCATCAGAACTAAATCACTGGAAATTCACTTGGATAAAGGGAAAAACAATAAAATAGGAAACAACGAAACCCACATGAGGTTTGGCTCACCAATGGTGCCCAATGAACCAAGGTGGGGGAACATAGAGATTATTCGTAAGAACATGAAACACTCTTCGTCGAAACAATAGAACCACAATACCTTACTTACTTGTATAGGTAAGTTATAGTGTTGAGCTATTTTTCCAAGTTCTTCTTGTAAATCAAGAGAACACGAAAGGGCAAATCGTGGTGTAATACATGGTGTAACCAGATCTAACTAAAATAAATATTTTCATTTGCTAGTATTGAAAAACACAAAATGCACATACAGACTGTACATTACATCCGTATAATTGTCTCGTCCTGTTTGTATGTCCTGTTTTCTGCCCTGGATAACAAGAAACCTCACAACCTTGATATCACTTCAACAGCTTTCAAAAAAATATTGAGAGAATAACTGTAATTCATTTTTTGGTCAAAATTATGACCCTTGTTCACTGCATAAATTTGGTTCTTTATTTCGCTGTTGGTGGGGGAAGGGATACCATCAGAATAGTTTAGACTGAATACTGCTATCAGCAGAACCATGGCGTTTTGGTACGTGGTGCGTTTTAATGTCAGTTGTTATGCTACCTTTTTTTTAACTTGGCCAAATTGAGTGGACTTATCTGGTGTCATAACTATACAACATAATCCCTCTATAATCTATTAGTTAAATGTATATCAATAACCTCTCAAGTATTATTTACTGATAGTGTTAATTATGTTCGAATAGCTCTCATGTTAACCTCTGATTCTCTTGTACATGTTTAATTTGAAACCTTTTAATATTTTTCATCGTCGGTCTGAAATGCATTCGCTTCTATTAGATGTAAAGTACATAAAACTTACTTCCAAGTTCAAAACCTCTTCTACAAACCTACAAAAATTATCAAAGAAGCAGTCATTGGACTCCATTCTCCATGCTTTACCCTTTTAATTGTTTGAAAACATGCTCTGGATCTCTATGCTCTTCCTTTTTAATTGTTTGAAAACATGTTCTGGATCTCTATGCTCTTCATTTTTAATTGTTTGAAAACATGCTCTGGATCTCTATGCTCTTCCTTTTTAATTGTTTGAAAACATGCTCTGGATCTCTATGCTCTTCCTTTTTAATTGTTTGAAAACATGCTCTGGATCTCTATGCTCTTCCTTTTTAATTGTTTGAAAACATGCTCTGGATCTCTATGCTCTTCATTTTTAATTGTTTGAAAACATGTTCTGGATCTCTATGCTCTTTCTTTTTAATTGTTTGAAAACATGCTCTGGATCTCTATGCTCTTCATTTTTAATTGTTTGAAAACATGTTCTGGATCTCTATGCTCTTTCTTTTTAATTGTTTGCTACCTGTTAGTTTCTGATATTGACTGATCTGTTGTTTCTACATAATAATCTGGGGACCGTTGATTCATATTCACTTTTCCAACCAATGCCCTCTGACCCAATTTATCTGAAATGAAAGACAATTGAAGAATGAGGGTCACCATGAACTATGTTATGGAGATTTTACCATTCATGTCCTTACATTAATTAAATATTCTTTAACTGTGCGACCGATAACACTCTTATTGTACAAGTATGCAATCTGTCTGTAAGATTTTGAATGTATAGCGGGTCTTATTATGACTTCCTGACCTACAAAGATTTTCTTTTATATGACACAGCGTATAAACGCAACATAATTTATGCGTCTGCATAATTGACAGGGCGGGATTTCGGTTATTACTTTTAGAAATAAAATTCTATTCAACAACAAAAAATTTCCTCGTCACGTTCAGATTGTTATAAAAATTCTCAGGTCAGTTAGTCCAGATAGCAAACTTTATCACATCAATTATGACTGCAAATGATTGTAATCACCGGGCTGTTATGCTTATCCTCGGAATAACAAGTTGCTCGTCACATTCAGTCGTCCAAGAAAAGTTTTTTATTCGACCACTTGGCTACAATTCTAGAATGTGATAGCTGACAATGAACATTTAAAACAGGTATTTAGACAACCGCCTTAGGCCCTTAGCTACAACGGGGCATCCCCCTCCTCCTGAATAAATTCTGACAACTGACCAATTCCATTATTACCCCTCCGGATATATTACTTGTCCCTCTTGAACTTAGCTTCAGTCAGTGATACAAGTTAAAGGGTCCTTCGAGATAAACACTTACATTTTTGTTTCAGCAGAACTCTGATACTTTTAGAACTCTTATTATATTTTGTAAGATGTTCTTACACAGGAATTGTCCAGTTGCATTTACTAACCTATTATTCGACAGAGTACTAGTGTACAATCTGTATGTATAGTACCATAATATGATGCTGTTGTCGTACCATTCTTCAAAAACCTCGACTGAAAATAGTTTTTTTACCACAATGAAATAAAATTTTACAAATTTGAAGCGGGAGTCTGAAAACAAGATAAACTTATTTCCCTGAAAATTCACGATTATCGCTTAATATGTGGTGTACACATTTCAATTAAAATATGAATTTTCTTATTTTAAAGATCTTCATAATGCATCTGTAGTGTGAATTTATTCATATATAATTATATATACTGTTAGTTACCTATGCTGAGGTTTTCACATTTTTCAAAATCAATATTAATAACCCAAATACATCAAATCAAATTGTCAAATCACTCTGACTGATAAAATATATATCTAAGACATCAGAGCAAGGACAATAACCGTTTATCGAAAAATCACCATATACATGTACAAACTAGACCAAGACCTCATCTATATAAACTACAACAAATTTCATTAAAATCAGATAGAAAAAAAGTCAAATTTTTTGTTGTGATCACGATAGATATGGAGACTACAGTTTTTAAGTCAAGGACAATAACTCAAAAGCCCTTCAACGAAAAATCGTCAAATTCTAATCAGTCCAAGATCTCATCAATATGAATGATCACACCAAATTTCATTTGATAAAAAGACGATGAAAATAACATGAAAAGTGTAGTCCTAAATTTTCTTTTAATATGTAATATTATTTTCATCATTTCTCATATTTAGCACTAAAAGTGAAAATATTTAACTACTTTATTAATATAATAGTAAAAGAAATGCAGTATCAGTTTCGTACAATATGATTAAATTGAACTTTATCTGTGTCTTGCGTCTTGCGTCTTGCGTCAGGCTCGGGTTTAATAAGGCGTAACGAAGACTTACCACAGCCTTTTGATAAACATCCGTTGCGAATTGTTTGTCTTGGAATTTCGATTCAACTGGGAAAGTATAAGTATTTAACCAATCCATCAAGCCTCGATCCATTCCAGTACCTTGATATGAATATTGTGAAGCATGTGCATGTGTATCAACGAATCCAGGTATTAAAAATTGTCTGAAATAGAAACCCAATTCAACTCAGCAAATTAGATGGAATTATATTGGAATTATATAGAAATATCTTCCATGACAATATAGTTCCAGGCCTTCAATAAGTCTTTTGAAAAAACGATTGGTGGCTTGATTTAGAATCCAGGACAAATTACTAAAACTTTTTTAACTTACCGCTTAGATAAGTATTCCACATTTTTAATGCAAAAACTAAATTCTTTTGTTAATGAAGTCAGGTCTGCTTTCTTACACAAGAATACAATCTATAATCATATATATATATATATAATCTATATTCGACTTAAATGTTCAATAAATTTATGATAATAATTCATTTTATTTCAAAAATCTCGAGTTTTATTTATTGAGTACTGATGTTTTCGATGTACAAATTGTTTTTGAAATAAATTACCTTTTTATCTTGAAAACCAATGGCTGCATCTTGTAATATTACTAAATTATCTTCTTTAGTAGAATGAATAATAGTTCCGCATATAACATTTAAAATTGTCATCTATAATAAATAACAGATCTTTAAGGTGTTGTTTTAAGGTAGCTATTATATATTTATATACTATTAAACTTGTTTACTTTTTAAATTCTTATAATCCTGAATCCAGTACTATTTTCGCGAAAATTAACCCTAACCTGTTCGTTTTACCTGACAATGTACCGAGAATCTAATGCGTTTAATAATATAATCAAGTGCAATCTAGTAAAAATTTGGTTCCAAATTAAAAAACGTGAGATTTAAACTCAATCCATCAATGTTTCATCCAGAGTCTTTTATGATGCTAATAATATCTGAATAAAAACCCGTCGGTCCAACAATAAACAAAAAAAAAAAAATCCACCAAACTATTGACCAAGAAACATAGATATGAAGGAGTGGCCCCTTTAGAAATCATGTTATTTTGAATTTGACTAAATCACATTATACCAGTTTAATCCAACGTACTTTTAATTCGTCCAACTTTGTTGAAAACATTAGTAAATCTATGAAACTCCTGTCGACAAGATATTTTGGGGAAATAATAGCGAGGAAATTATTCAATGGTAAGTTATAACATAAATAAGCAATAATAATTAAAGGAAATTACTAAATCTATGATATCATTTAGAAAATAAATCTGTTTGTCACAAATACTAGAAGTTAAATTATCAAAAATCACACTGCCCTCATTAAATAAATATTTCAATATTCTCAATAACCATCACCCTTCTGTAAAATTGATTTTTTTTGTTATTGCTATCTACGGCCCTAAAGAACATCTTAACCCTTCCTTTTTGTGGGTGTTTTTATTTTAATTTTAACTAATTTATCTTTTCTCGGTCATGTCAGAGGGGTTGGCATGAAACGCACAAAGTTCGCACCGAAGTGGCATGTTCCTATTTGATCATTAAAGGTAGTTATTAATGTAATAAATTAATCCTTACCTTGACTTCTATGTATGTTTTTTTAACTTATTTTTTATCTCCGGGAGATGGTGACCTGGTATTTGTCATACTAATCCTTTGGTCAGTCGTGTCTTGAGTTTACTATAAACTTAGATGATAACAAAGAAAACAAACACCAGTAAACGTTCGTGTGAATACCTTATTCACTTTGTTTACTGTTACTATCCATGGCTTTGAATTAAATCATGTTGTATATTTCCCGCGAATTCTTTACACAAATTTAGAAATATACAGCACCTCTTGGTGGTCCCATTATCTTGGGATATAACGTCATAGACAATTTGAATGGCTACCGAATTTAATTTAATTGCTTTCAGCAAAGTCCCAGTTTGTTATCGAAATGACCATTCTTTTTTTTTTTTTTTTTTTTTTTTTTTTTTTTCGTTTCGTCCACACCTTCCTGAGCTTAGATTGCAGTAGTTGAAGGTGCGTTTCAAATTTCATAGACCTTCTATATAGGCGACGATGTGCATAAATATAAATTGGAACATTTTTGCAAAACCGGAAGTGCCACAGTTCAACATGTGCAAAAAGTCGAAAATCGGCTCTAGAAGGCGTATTTTTGCATCAATTTTCTTCGGGTTTTCATTTTTAAAATCTACCTGTAATTTCTGACCTGATAGCACTTGAAAAATTACGAAATTCGAAAATTCGTCGCTCACTTTTTTCGATCAAATTTTTCAATTTTTTTGCAACTTTTTTGCTTTTGCATCGATTGATCTGAAATTTAATATGCAAAGGGACATCAATAAAGCAAATAATATGTAGTTGTCAAATATTTAATTTTACTTCCGGTTTTAAACGGGGAATCAATTGAAAGTACAATCCATTTCCGGTCGAATAACTTCCGGTGTAATTGAAATAGGTCAACGAAATTTATGCTGATCGTAAGTAAATGCTAATACAAAAAAACGAAGAAAGTAAAATCCAGACCGGAAGTGATACTTTGGCCGCCATATTGAAAAAACACACTTTTGTAAAACTCAAAATGGGGCCTCAGGGTAAATGTTAATATGCTCAAATTTGATGTGAATGTATTCTGCAATCGATTGCGCAAAAAACATTGGGAGCCGAATTTTGAATTTCGCTTTTGCTTTTTTGCAACTTCCGGTTGAAATTTTTTCATGCTTTAAACGATCACACCATGTGACCTTGACCTTTGATGACCTTGACCTTCATAGGGTCAAAGGTCATTGACCTTGGCTATCATTTGATACTTT